TGTAGACCATTTACATTTTTGGTTTGTTTAAATTTCAGCCATAACAACAATGAAAATTCAGACTTAAAGTTTATGTGCCACATGGTTGCAAAAAACAGATGATGGGAGATATACTGTATGGTGTTTATTAAATTTAAAGGGGTCATATGATGTGATTTAAATTTTTCCTTTCTCTTTGAAGTGTTACAAGCTCTTGGTGCATCGTTACCCTGAATGACATTGAATGTGTTCTGTAAATCTTGTTAAAAATGTATGATAGTCATTATTGCTTATATATTAGGGGTGTAACAGTTCAAAGTACTCATGGTTTGGTTTGTATCACGGTTTTAGAGTCACAGTTTCGGTACGGTTCGGTATGTGCTATGTTTAGGGAAAAAAAACCTATACTGTCAAATAAAAATAAAGACGACATTCTAATTTATTGAGATGCACCTGTATATTCAAAAAATATAGAGCACAAGTCATATGGACCACTTTTATGGTACTTTTTTGAAGGAAGTCATTATTCCAACTTCAACTTTTCCTTTTAACCTTGAAATAGGAAGAGCATTTATAGTGCACCATTAAAAAATTCCAAAGAATACAATTTTCTGCAAGCACTGAAAGAACTTTTAAATCAAGGTTTTAATAACGCACTTTTTTCTTGAACGACAACTTGAGGGTCTACCTGACCCAGTGTGAGTGTGTGCTGCATGCTGACACACTTGTGCTGAACTTGATGAACTTCAGCTGAAGTCTCGATGGGGTTCTATTTTGGCAGCTGAAAGTTTGCCTGGCGGTTTCTGGCTGAGGAGAGACATACAGTCTCACTTCCTCCTTGAACAAACTGTGGCCTGAGCCTCACCATGGACACTTTAAAACAGGGGAAGAAGGGGGAACAAGAAATCTTTGCATGAACCATGTCTCTGTGTTTTAAAGAAATTGTCCATGCACGTATGTAGAAATGCAGGTGTGTGTATGCGGATGGATGCATATAAACTGAATAGAGCCTGTGCCACAAATAGATGTTTACTTGTAAAAGAAACATTGCAACTTGCAACTCACTTAAACATATTACACAGTATGACTTATTTATATATTATTTTATGTTTTTAGATATTACAAACAGACACAAAAGGTGGAAAACTGTATATGTCCTTATGGATTTCTCTTTTACGGCAAAATAAAGAATATATCGAAATAACAAATCCCAGTGGAATTCTCATAAAATGGCCATGTGACCATTTAGATGCATCTTCAAAGGACTAAAAGAGCTCAGTGTGGTTTATGTCCAAAAACTAAATGAAGAAACCTGATTGTTGGCACAAGAAAACTTTAAATACAGTGGTGCTTTTGAACAGAAAGTCTCTCTAAATCAGAAGAACACACACATTGTCAACAAGATGACAGAAAACCCCTACAGCTTAGTTAAAGAGATTCCTATGTGACAGTGAGAAAGAGGTCTATGAGTTCATTTCTTGGCATGTCCCACAAAGTGAACTCATGTCCTAGAGTGTTCTAGCGTCCTAACGTGGCCTCTCTTCTTCTTTCTTCCTAATCCCTCTCTGCAGATCCATCAAGAGGAGCATATGTGTCTAGCCACATTCTTCAGCAGACCTGACCCACCACAGAGACCCAGGCTACAACCGACCTGACCCAGCAAGAGGGGACAACGTGCTGCCCTTTCACTTAACCAGAGATGTCGGTCAATGACTCGACACCAAAAAGATCCTCTGTCCTCCGTCTCACCCTCTTCACCTTCAGTTCAACCGGAATAATGCACACGGAAGACCAGCAGAGGCTATTAACTTGTTATTACTTCAGCCAGGAAAGACTCAGACTCCTTTCGTTTTATATGAATAAACTTCTGTCTTTTTAAAGAGTCAGTTGACTCCCCCCAAAAATTTTAATTCTGCCATTGTTTACTCACCCTCATGCAGTTCCAGCCTGTATGAGTCTGTTTCTTTCTTGTAACACAAACGAAGAAAACAGACAATTACAACGAATGGGGACTGGAGATTTTGTGCTTAAAATTGATGCAAAGGCACCATACTATTTATTTTAAGTCGTCTGAAGCGTTATGATAGCTTTTTGTTACTAAAAGTCCGAAATTGACATGGTTTCCCAATGATAATCTCCTGCTTGTTTGGACTTGAGAAACGGATCAATCTGATTTGTGAACAAGTCATTCAGATCCGGCACAAAAGAACGGTCACGTTGAAACCAACAGAGATAACATAATTGCAATTGTTCGTCTTTTGTGCGTCAATGTGCATACTTAATTGTGAAGGGTGTAGTGTTCCTTCCATAAAAGTAAATGCACAGTGACTGTTGATTCTTGTGTGTATGCCTAACGAACAGAAATGATGCGAAACATAAACTTACCTAACTTTACTATGCCTTTGAAAGCACTGTTTTTTCTTAATATGCAAATCTAGTTTCATATACGTTCTTCTGGACCTCTAATAACATCAGATGCCGATTAGCCATTTTGATCCAAGTTCCTGTGAGCACACGGTTCTGTAAATTAATATCAGACTCACTTATACACTCTCACCCATACAAACTCATAACACAATGATACACAATACAAAAACTCAAAAAGATTGCTCTCAGCGTTAAAAAAAAATGACAGACTCTTAATTTATATATTCATACCTTTATATACAATTATGGCTTCATATAACAGCTGCAATTTTCTTTTTGTTAAATTAAAATCAATTCTTCGTCGCCGTTTACATTACAATATTAATAGGCACTTCCTCCATGTAGAACTAGTCTAAAAAAAAGCATGTGGTTCTGACAAGGACTGTACCATGAGTGTATGTTTCTAATGTACAATTGGCTACAGTGGGAATACATCTCCCATCTCAATTAGGTCATGTCAGACAACATTAAAACCAGCCAAAAAAAAAAAAACTTCACTAACACATTTGAGACAAATTCGTCCATTAAGAAATTAGAGTCAAAACAAATGACATTTGTGATTATTAAATAAGACAAAATCAATGTTATTTACATGTCAAAAGATCCAAACAGACAAAAAAAAAAAAAACAAACAAAAAAAAAACACACTCAGAAACTCAAAGTCAGTGACACTTAATGATGCTTAAAATTATATACAGATATTAGATAACAGACACAAACAAACAAAAGTATACTTATAATATTCATAGACAGTCTGAAATGACTACAAAATGCAGATTGTTGTTTTATATCTGTCAAAAATATATGCATGTTTAAAATTCTTTTTAATTTACAAACCTTCATGGTACCCCTCACTGCTTAGATAGAAAATCTCACATGTTAGAAATCTCAAAGCATTAAATATTTTGTAGATGTGCAGTTACAATGAATGTGTGTCTGTGTGTGTGTGCGCGCATGTACATTATTAAGACAACAGAGAAAAATCTTAAATTACACAAAATTATCATATAATTGTAAAAACATTTTAAGAGGCTTTAAGCCTGATGCTCTCAAGACAGAAAAACACACTCAGAAACTCAAAGTCAGTGACACTTAATGATGCTTAAAATTATATACAGATATTAGATAACAGACACAAACAAACAAAAGTATACTTATAATATTCATAGACAGTCTGAAATGACTACAAAATGCAGATTGTTGTTTTATATCTGTCAAAAATATATGCATGTTTAAAATTCTTTTTAATTTACAAACCTTCATGGTACCCCTCACTGCTTAGATAGAAAATCTCACATGTTAGAAATCTCAAAGCATTAAATATTTTGTAGATGTGCAGTTACAATGAATGTGTGTCTGTGTGTGTGTGCGCGCATGTACATTATTAAGACAACAGAGAAAAATCTTAAATTACACAAAATTATCATATAATTGTAAAAACATTTTAAGAGGCTTTAAGCCTGATGCTCTCAAGACAGATGCAAAATTAGTCTTTAGGGGGGGGGCTGTTAAATAATATTACAAATGTTTTCAAATACATTTTCCAAGGTAAAAATTATTATTATTATTTTACAATATGAATGTTTGAATCATGAATATCATGACGTTTTCTTGGGGTTATACTTCAAATTAAATGACCTTTTAATATTAAGACTTTTTATGATTATCTCAGGACTGTTATACCCCTCTGACATTCTTTTAATTTGTTAAAAAAATAAATAAAAATGGATTTTAATTTAGAAATTGATGAAAAATCATCACATCAATCAAACGCCAGGTTGTAAGAGGGGAAGGCACAAAGTACACATCATTATATACACAATGAAAGAATTTCCTCCAGCAGTTTGAGAAAATCTATGTTATATGTACAGCAAACAAGGCCACAATAAAATGATTTTTTAGACATTTAAAGGCTGGGAGGGGTTATTGAAGAGCATTTAAATGACCTGTAAGATGCTTACAAATGTACAAATATAAACATTTCATTTACCATCCCATCAGTACAACAAAAATATACACCTCTGTACAAAACACATTCATTCAGCACCCTGAAATGACAAAGATAACCGTAATGTACACTACACCAGACATTACACAGCACTCCAGTTAATATGACACACACATCTGCCCTGAATTCATTTTAGTGACATACAGTGCCAAACTTAAAGAGCAAATAGACAAAAAATATACAAAACAATCTCAAATGTCTGAGTGTTTGACATGACTATTTTTGATTAAACAGTTTCAATATTTATGTTCTGACTAACCACAAACAAAAAGAAGATTTTGATGATTCCCGACAATCATGGAGTCTACTGGAACAATGTACTGTAAATCAGTAAATAATGACCATTCACTGGCCTCTGCTGATTGGTTGCAGAAGTTCTGACTGAGGTAAACAGTTCATGAGGTGCATGCACACTGTTCAGAGAGAGAGAAAAGAGAAAACGGTAATAGTGAACTAAAATTACATCTGTCATGTCAGTAATTTTTCTATTTCATATGAGATTGTGAGCAATTGTGAGAAATGAAGTCAGAATTCAGAGAAATAAAATTGGAATTTCTAGATATACAGTCACAACTTCGAGAAATAAAGTTGCAATTGTGAGAAATAAATTCAGAATTGGAAGAATTCAAATCAGAATTGCGAGATATATATTCACAACTACGAAAAATTGAGACACAATTGTGAGAAATTCAGAATTGGGAGAAATAAAATTGGAATTGCGAGATATGTATTCCTATCTATAAAAAAAGGCGCAACTGTGAGAAATAAAGACAGAATGGCAAGACAGAGACACAATAACGGGAAATAAAGTCGCAATCATGCGGAGATGGGCTTCAATGATGGCAAAATTCTGTTTATTTATTTAACTTTTGTTTTATTTTACGCTTTCAATAATTGAGTCCTTGCAGATGGGAAGGAAATGTAAGGTTCTTGTATGTGTAGCCTTTTGGTATGACCTACAGCATTCAGCCTTCTGCTTATGTCTATGACATATTTACATATATATTCACACATTTGTTATGATTAATTCATATCATATTATTATAAACATCCTGCCTCACCAATCTGTATGTGTTTTGAGTAGATAACGTGTTTATCCAGATACCCAGCTATGCGTGTTGGTCTTCACCCCGTGTGGGAAACTCTGTTGACTGCTCATGGGGTCGAAGTTGAAGTCCAGAGCATCGCCATCCATGAGCGTGTCGTGAAGGACGGTTTCTACATCACACTCCAGCTGCTCGATCGACATGTCATCTAAGTCACTGGGCAGCCGCTCCGGGTGGCTGTGATGGTGGTGAGGACCCGGTCCGTGCCTGTGGAAACCGTTGCCATTGGAGGAAAATTTTTTTTTTTTCTGGGTTGTTTTAGAACAGAGAAGTAATTTTACACAGAATTTTAGCACCACTAAAATTGTGCATAAAAATGTTTTAATTATTATTTTAATTAGTATTTTTTTTAAATATATTATTTGTTTAAATTAGTAGTCCTGAGACCAGAACCATAACAAGTTGGCTTCCCAGATATAAACAAAAATATATAACAGATGAAATAAAATTAAAATTAAATTAAAAACGCAAACAAACAAACAAACGTCACATTATATTCGTAAAAAATTTTTTCGGTTTCAGATGGTCAGGGAAAATAAAGTAGCTTGAAGTGCATCAAAAATAGAAATCAACTAAAGGCATGTTGTAATGCAGCATCTTCCTCTAACTTAATATGTTAAGGTAAATTTCGGATTTCTGTTTACTAAATGATTTGTATATAGGCTATGCTTGCGGGTATTGCATACAGTGTTAACTCCCGCAAGTGCCACGTTCGGTAAATTCCCACTCACTTATGTCTCCTCGTCTCTCTCTCGCGTGCGTTCTGCAGCAGTCACTTGGATAAGTCGTTGTTGGTTGTGGAACTGGTTGACTTTTGATGAGTTTGTGCGCGTGATGCGCACTGTGAAAAAGTGTGGACCAATCTGCACCTTATTGATGACCCGTGGCGTTAATATACTGCATCTGTGCCAGCGCGTGATGTAATAAAACTGCAGCCCACCACTGAAACCAATACATTAACGTTTCGGCACACAGTGAATCTGCACCTAGTGAGCAAGCAGAGATTTTTTTTCCCCTCAACTGACCTTTTTCTTGGCTGCTCGTCCGCGGCTCTTTATGAACTTGCTGTTGTTGTCCATGGAAGTGGCTCTCCGGCGTGGAGACTTGCCGCTCTTTCCCCCCTCAGGGTTCAGCATCCACCACGAGCTCTTCCCCGTTCCTTCATTCTGGACGCGCATGAAACGACTGTGCAAGGACAGATTGTGTCTGATTGAGTTCTGTCAGGGAGAGAGAGAGAGAGAGAGAAAGAACGAGATGAGAACATGAAAATCTGAGTATAGACATCTGACAGAAAACCAAGCATAAGAAGTGGAAATGACCTGCAATTGTCCAAATCAATGTCATAATATCATGCTTTAATGTTGTAAGACACTCAGATATAACAAAACATACGAGATAAACCAGTCACATAAAAGAGAAGTGACTTTTGATTGACAAAACAGCCAATATTTTATTATCTTATGTTACCAAATCACTTAATAATAATAATAATAATATTTTATTACTTGCACTTGCACACAATCACAGACAATCATATACAAGCAGCCTTCTCAGAGCCTAGTGACAATATGAAGTAGAGCAATAGCCAGTTAGCTGGCAGAGGAAAAGCTGTAATAGTCATGTCCTTTTTGGAGGCACACACTGAACTCAACCTATACACACACACATCCTGCGCTAATGATATTTTGTCTGCTTCAGTTTTTCCATTCACACCCTGACCAGACCTACATCTACCAAGAAAGAGAAGAGAGACTATCATAGTACAATTTAAAAGTCTCAAATATTTTGCTAGCTTAAGTCTTATCGTGATTTCTTTGGGGAAAAGTGACGTCATTCAGGCCTGAACTGCTCATTGAGAAGAGATGAACAGGAAAAAGTAAACCATACAGACATTTAGAAGAGGATAAAGGACAAACTCAAGAATGAAATTGTGATTGGTAATTTGTTTTGTGTGGTATTTTGATGATCCCATGCCATCATAATTATTAAAGTATAAAATTAACAGTGTTACCAGAGGTCATAACGTAGTTATTTCATAATAAATAATGGTAAAAATTAGGGCTGGGTATCGAGTTCGATACTTTTTAGGCACCGACCGAATTGCCTCGATACCATCGAGTATCGAAAAACGTGCTCTCACAGACGCACACAGTGCAGAACACGCACTCGCGCACACACGCGGAGACGCGAACAGAAACTTCTTGTCAGCGCTGCCCCGCGAATTTAAAAACGAACACGCACTAGTGTAAATGTAGCCTAACAGATGTGTAAACTGAAGACTATTTGAGCTTTATTAAAACTATTTTGCACTGATTTATTGTGTTGGTTACATTTTGTTCCTTTGTGCAGTGGCTCAGGAGATGAGTCTTTGAGTTTGTATAAACATCAACAAGCTGAAAAATAAAACCAAAGTTTTTTTGTTAGATAATGTAATCTTGTTAAAATTGATTTCATAAAATTGGTATCGAAAAAAGTATCGTTCAGGAACCGGTATCGAAGTCAAGGTATCGGTATCGAAAATTTTTGAACGATACCCAGCCCTAGTAAAAATAAAAGAGTAAATGTGACATTTATTAATGGTGTTATGTGATGAATGTCTGATGATTGAAGTGTTTTCAAATTAAGTGAAGTGTAAATTGAAGTTTTTTGTAATGATGAACAACAAACATTAAAAATAATATAAGTACATAATGACAAATGGCTATGATTACTAATTTTCCCCTCAAAAATAGAAAAAATAAATACATTTAATAGAGTTATTTGCGTCATTGATAGTAGTTGGTATCAGATCTAAAAGCAAATTTGTGATATCCATCCTTATTCTACATTAGCATAAAATTGGGACAAGAAATTATGATGATAAGTGCAGAAAATAAAACCCATCCAACATATAATCCATAATAATAAAAAAATGTAAATAAAAGAGTAAATGTGACATTTATTAATGGTGTTATGTGATGAATGTCTGATGATTGAAGTGTTTTCAAATTAAGTGGTGTAAATTGAAGTTTTTTGTAATGATGAACAACAAACATTAAAAATAATATAAGTACATAATGACAAATGGCTATGACAAAGAAAGACAGAAATAAAAAAGACAGACAGAAATAATAGGGATGCCAGTATATTAAAATTCAGTCCAATATTAATGGTTGATAATCAATATGTTCAGGCCGATAACCGTTAAAAGGGCTAATATTAAAATTCTATTTTGTTATTTTATAATATTTAAAATATATAAGAAAATATAATTCTAATATATATAATTTTCATATCTGCTATTAAAGTTCTATATTAATTAACATTATAATATACAATATTAAAAATGAATATTAAATTTGAGATTTCCTAAAAAATTTCTAAATTAAACAGTTTTTTTGACTAAACAGAATTTTTTATGATTCAATTTAAGTGATCGTTAGTTGACAGCAAAGGCAATGTAAAAGTATCAGTAACCGTTATAGTACCATTATATTGTACATTCCAAAGAAAAATTGCACCATAATACACTCAGTATTTTTCATACATACTCTCATTCAAAATAACATTCATGACAATAAAAAAGGTTATAATTGTATTTATAACAGATGAAAAATAAATGTGCATTTTTCTAAAATGTAAAAGGTTTTACAAATTTAAAACAACCTGTTCTTATAATCAGTAAAACATACTTTCACTAAACACTTTTAATGTTTCAGTTTTATTTTCTGATCAACAACTTTGCTATACCAAAAACATAATTTGACAAAATGTTGTCTCTTGAAACTCTACACTTCACTCCTCCTATAAAGAAGAAAAGACAGTTAAAGAAAGAAAGAAAGAAAGGATGTTGTGAGTGTTCCAGGGTACTCATGCATAAATTCATCTAGTCATATTAGCAGATGGCATACACACACACAGTCACATTCAGAACACACGCTTTGCACATGCACACCAGGCCGGGCGGCAGGATATGAGTCACTACAGGAATGCGACGGAGAAGGTGTTACAGTTTTCTAATCACACGTTCAAAAAGAACAAAATTACGCTAATGCCTGAATAATTTCAGGTTCAGGTATGGTTATTTACTCAATACCCTCAAAATAGATTTAAGCCTGCAGTTAGTCTTTACTACTGATCTCAGGGTCAGCTTTATAATGTACAGTACAGGAAGTGAGTAATAGCCAGGTTTGCATGAAATCTGTTCCCCCAAAAATCAGAAAAAGGCCCTTTAGATTTCTACAAATATTCATAAACAGACACATCAGCGCATCAATTCAACTGTGTCACAGATGTCAATTCTGGATGCTGTTTGAATGCACACAAATGCAAATGAGATTTGAGAGATTTTCAATAACAAATGAAATTTCATTTTGTTCCTCACACAACACTACTGTATGGCTTCAAAGATTCGAAAAATAGCACACAAGTTATTTTGGAAGGATGTGAAAAAATTATGACAGAATTGTCATTTTGGGTGAATTAACCTAGTAATTCTGGTCTGGGATCAGTACATGGGACATCTATACATGGTGTGGGGCCTTCGCCTCTCTCTCCCCTTCTCTTATCACAGGTATGCAAGGTATTTCAAGGCTACAGAATGACCTTTGGTCTCAGATCTGGGATATCCCCAACTGATCTACGACAGTAAAGAAAAGTGTGCATTAAAATCCCCTTTGGGTAAGATCTGAGTCAACTGAAGTGTGAGATGAAAAACTGTGGACCTATGCACCAATTTCTACAGAGATGGGTGGGAAGTGTGCTAAGGGTTTGTGCAAATTGAAACTCATCTAATTTCAGGCTGTTACATAAAGGTTTGTCAGTTTGCCAGTCAAACAGAATCAGCTCCACATGCAATAAATGAAATCAATGAGATGCAGCCATCATGATGAAAAATTTGCATGGGCACATGCCACTCAAATTACATTGTGTTACAGTTATTTACTGCTATTTTTAATTAACCTGAATAAAAAAAATATTTTGTTAAAATATTTATTAAAAAAAAAAACTATATATATATATACACACACACACACAAAATTACATCGTTATAATTATTTGTTATCTAAAATAAAACTACATAAATAAATAAATAAAATATATTTAATGAAAATACATTTAATAAATTAATTATAATTAATGAATTTATGAAATTATAAATATAAACTGAATTCAATGACACAGTTCTGGCACACTCATTATGATAATTCTTTGCAGGTCAGTATGACAAATTGGTAAACAGAAGTGAATTTGCTTGTAGTACCCAGGTGCAGTGGCAAATAATTGTGTGTGATGCTATAACGGGTGTGTGTGCATGTGTGAAAAACACATTTCTATTATAATCCTCAGAGCTATTTCTGCAGTGATAGGTGCCAATAGGCTGTGCTGAAGGGGTCACTATGTAATTGAGTGTGTGTGTATGTGTGTGCGTGCATCAGATCTCCTGAGGGATTTATAAACAAGTCCGAGAAACCCCATCTGCATCCTGTCTGACACCCCAGACAGCACACACACTGACTGCCACTCAATAACAAGCAAGCATTATTAATCAACCATCACCTTCACAACTTACAACTCATCAACATAACCAAACCAACTCACACTCACATATTATGTGAACAAATACAACAATGATTTTAAACAGATCACCTTAAAGGATTAGTTCACTTCCAGAATAAAAAAATCCTGATAATTTACTAACCGCCATGTCATCCAAAATGCTCATGTCTTTCTGTCGCAAAGAAATTAAGGTTTTTGAGGAAAACATTCCAGGATTTTTCTCCATATAATGGACTTCAATGGTGGCCAATGGGCTGAAGTCTCAAACTGCAGTTTCAGTGCAGCTTCAAAGGGCTCTACATGATCCCAGCCAAGGATTAAGGGTCTTGTCTAGCGAAACGATCCAAAATGCTCATGTCTTTCTGTCGCAAAGAAATTAAGGTTTTTGAGGAAAACATTCCAGGATTTTTCTCCATATAATGGACTTCAATGGTGGCCAATGGGCTGAAGTCTCAAACTGCAGTTTCAGTGCAGCTTCAAAGGGCTCTACACGATCCCAGCCGAGGATTAAGGGTCTTGTCTAGCGAAACGATCAGTCATTTTCTAAAAAAAATTTAAAAATGTATTATTAAATTTAACCACAAATGCTCGTCTTGCAAAAATCCTGGAATGTTTTTCTCAAAAACCTTAATTTCTTTGCGACTTGAAGAAAGAAAGACATGAACATCTTGGACGACAT